TCAATTGCTCCTGGATTGCAGCAACGATAGTTTGAGCATTTGTTCGCCGCTGTTTTTTGGACACTGGTGACGCAAGCGCATAAATATCCTTTACACTATTCTCAGATATGGATTTTACTGGCGACGTTACAACAATGTTTGATGTCTGAAATGTAAATGAACACTTGTGATCAATATGCTGATAAATGCTTTCATAGCCCCCCAGTCCCAATCTCCTTACTCGAAAAATAGAAAATAAAGTACAATTCAAATTACAAAATTTAAATGTACTGATTCTTTGTGTTGCTCACCGCTCTGTACACAAAAATTCAAAAAACTGATTTGTCTAACAGTGCTTTCTACATGAAGATTCAGAAACTTTTTTTCCCAAATCTTGGCGTACATATCACAGACTTCGCGAAATCGCGAACGATTGAAAATTTTTACTCCACCAATTATCTCAGCACTTAAGCTCATTTCATCGATAGAACTGGACTATAGATTCCACTGCTATATAAATCTACTACATAAAACTTTCCGCTACACTTTGCATTAAATTTATTATTTCTTTTTTTTTTCTTAAAATTTGTTAAGGCCTAACCTTTTTGGAGCTTAAAAATCGAAAGACTAAAAGGCGATTACTCTGAAAATATTTAAGACTTGAATTTTTTATTTCTAAAGCTTGAGACTTACATCACCCTCATCATGTTTTGTTTGGTAGTGCAAGAGAAGTCGCCGTGAGTTTGCAAATAATAGTGAGCACCGTTTACATGATGCCGGCGTTGAAGGTGCGATAGAATGCGCTTCGTCTAGATGTGTTCGCAAGCTTGAGTGTTGACTGAACTGTTTATCACAAAGGGCAACTGGACAATCAAAATCGGCACCTGTCTTTATATGAGTCATCGAGTGTTCTTGCATCTAAATTATATAATAGGTAGTTCGAAAAAATATAAAAGTTACTGAACAATATCAGAAAAAAAAGTTCCATAGCCGAAAAACCATTAAATATGTTTAACTGACCACCTCGGTGGCATAAAATACAGTTGTAACTGTGCAGTGTGTTATCTTTTTCCAGTCATACATGCACGCCACGTTTTAATGTTTTAACAGTATTTCTGCAAAGTCAACATGGCGAACCTGATCTTTCCGAAAAAATTTTTTTAGGCAGTACCGACACTGATATGGTTTAACACCGGTATGCCGCATTCGATGACGATGCATATTTGCTTTCTGGCTGAACTGCATATGGCAAATATCACACTGATACATTTGTCCTTGATGGCGTTCATGTGCATCCTGTAAAATTTCAGAATTATAAACGACAAGATGAAATGATGCGAACCTAAAATTTAACGAGCAGGTAAGTTAAATAACACCTTTTTGGCATGCGGTTATGAAATACACCATGATACACCTACTGCATAATCATACAATTTTGACATGAAATACTAGGCCCAAACAAGTTCAAACTTTATAGAGAACTTGAAAAAAAACAATTCTTGAAAATTAGTGAATTTAAACTGGATATTTTTTCATAAGAGAAATTAAAACAATATTAGTGCTATCATATGCAGCCTAATTCTTAATATGGAAAATTTTTTGCATTGAATCTGAAAATTCGAAAATATGCGCTAGGCGAGAAATATGACAAAATTATCATATAAAATAATAAATATCAAAACAACAAACATTCAATTAAACAAGAAATCGTTACAATGATGTCGGGTAGTACAGAAAAGTGACGTAAAGCTGAAAGGGTAGCATAAGACTTTTCAGCGAAATCGCTCTCTTCCTCCAGGTAAATGGAGGACTTTTAAAGATTAAAAAAATGTTTTTGCCTGAAGATAAAATAATCAAAGCTAACCAAGTGACTTTTCATATGCTGCGACATGCAGGTTTCAAAATTGCAGTGAGGACAAACGTGCACAGTTTTGCTGTTGCTGCTGCTGTTGGTGTTTGCTTTGGATGTGCCATTATTACCGGAGATTGGTGGTGAAGAGGCGGCAGCCGGAGAAAACTGCTCGGGGGATGACAGGTTCGGCGTCGATGATAACTCGTCTAAATCCTCGTTCCATTCCTGAAAATCGTATCACGTTCCAACCCAAAATACACGCACTAAACTAACTGGTTGTCCAATCCTCATAACCAACGCACAATCACATAAAATTGAGATCATATGTAAAGCGGCCCCTTCATTTATTTCCTCAATCGAATCTTCACCTTAATTCAAAAATACTCATTCCTTTTCCCTTCACCCAAGTATCAAGTATGTTATATTCCTTTGATTTTTGAAACCAAGAATTTCAAAAAAGTATCATTTTTGAGTTAAGACAAATTTCATTCCTGAATAAGTTTACAACAGAATTCCCACACAAAAGCAAATGATTGACCCAGCCTATTAAATATACACCCATAAAAAACCTTGTCCAATACCCTCTGATGGAAAATGACAGAAACAACAGTTCTTAATGCTAAATCGTCAATTACGCAAAAAGATTAAAAGTTACACAAATGATTAGCTGCTCTTCCACAGCAGTTTTTTTGTTAAGACAACCCATGTTTTAAAAGCTTTGCATCAGAATTCAAAAAACCACAAATCGAACAACCCATCAAACTAGAAACACTGCCAGTCTTCATAACCAGTAAACTCGAGAGCTTCATGATGCAGTTGCTGAATATCGGATATAATTTTCTATTCCCGAGAAATGTATTACAATAAAGGATCAAGATTCTAAAAAATTTGAATTTGAGATACTTTCCATTTCATTCCACCCAACTACATGCCCTACCACAGTTACGGAACAAACATGGAAATGTCCAGAGAGTAAACAAAAATGCTTTAACAAAAAAGAGAATCACTACACATCCTTATTTAAAAAAAGAAGAAAAAAAAAAATGCATAACAAAGGATAAACCTGCCGACTAGTATTTGTGGTAGTAAGATGCCGCTCATTTTCGTGCTGCTCAATGTGCTCCTTAAAATCAGCAAAATTATTTGTCATAAAGCCGCATTGAGTGCACGCGTTCATGTCCTCCATCGTCATCTGCAAATTAGATCATCTATTTTCGTATGGAACTTCACTGAAGCAATGATAGCCTGAATGGCAAACAAAATGGACGAGAGGATTTAATATCTGGCATTAAGAAACTTCTTTCATAATACCCGTGCTTTGTTTATTCCACCACTCTCTTAGTATTTTTTGCGGCATTATCTTCCAGCTATTTCATTAATGTTGAGTCACCCTTCTTAACACAGCAATAACTCGTTTGCAACTGCTGGACCACTCAGGAGAATCAGGTCAATAGTAGAAAACCGAACAATTTTGACAACCCAGGGGTCATCGCTATTTCTATTTCACTACAGCAAAATAGCAACAACTTTTGTATAATGCAGTGGCAGTAAAAGAAATATGAAATTTGCATTCCATATACAAGAGAATACCAGAACTGAGCATAAATTTAATTACTGTTAGTCAGTACTTGGTTATGAACACATGTACAAGAATAAAAAACTAAGGAAGCTATATTAATTAAGATGAACCCAGTAAGAAACATGTCCTATTATCTTATACATCCATTCCAACAACAATTATGTTTCACTTTAAAAGCATATAATTATTAATTATATCGCCACCTTACCAGCGTTCAGCAGCCCGAGAAATGAGGCTGACGCTTGGATATCAATCACATTCTATAATGGACCAACGAGCATATAAACCGCTCACGAAACATTCACACTACCTTGCAAAATAAGCATGTGGTCAATAAAAGGTAATACCAAAGTTAGGCAGTAACTCATTTAAAATAACCCACAACATTGCCAAGTATTTAAAAAATATATTTCACTTGTTCCATTGCATTGAAGTTCATTCAGTTTCATAAGCTTTCATAAATAATATTAAAAGTATTTTTATATGGTAAATAAAGTTATTGATTTACATGGTAAATAAAGGGATCGAAATTAGCTACAAAAGTACATTTACTATTACATTCAGTAAATCAAAATGTATAACTCTGCTTTAAAACAAAACAAGCAATATCTAAATGCAAACAGAAATGAAGACAGAATTCTTCACAACTAAAAAAAAGATTTGTAACCAATGATTAAACGGACAAATCATCCACATAAATAAGTCAGAAGAAAGTTGGTCTGCATATTCCGTAAACGAAAGAAGTCTTTCCTCTTCTCAGTGGAGAGAAAAAACTTTTTCAATGGGTACTATTGCCCAAAGATGTTACTAAAGTATAAAATGTTGTCATTAGCAGAAAATGCATAGTTGAGATGTGCGCGAGGTGAGTTATCATAATATTTCTTTATTCATAATAATACTTTTTTTTATTCAGGGTTCAGAAAAAAAAAGAGATATTTATCGTTAAATTGAAAAAATCTGATCTCTAAATGGACTTTAAATTTGACCTGAAAAATAATTGCTAGAAGATTGAACATTGTTGCACTGAAAGGCAAAATTTCTCGACGAGAATGTGTCAGGATAATTCAGGAAAGTGAGATTCCCCGTACTAATCGACTATCATTGTTTTTCATGCATATTTGTTTATGACAATAGTCCTAAATAATTCACTTTGTTTTGACGCTTTATTCAATAAAAAAGTTCTTTATCATCCGATGATTAAAAAACTTTTGTATATGAGCACACTAGATGTCGTTTCACTTTCGTTTCCAACCAGAATAAATTGGAAAAGGATCGCTCGCTTCAAACATTTATTATTTGTTGGGAACATCATCTGAACTGTTTTGAAAATCAGAGCAAATTGATCATGGTGGCACCCTAACAAAGGGTATGACCAGGAAGAAGACGTGAAGGAAGAATGTCGATGTAGATCTAGAAATTATTCAAAAGCAGACAAGATTTTAACTGAACTAAATTCAATTCCCAGCAGAAAGTCCAATGACACTACATTAATAATACCATTGTTATTGTTTGAGGTAGTTCTATATCAGTGCAACAGAGTAATAATACCTTCAAATTTAGTGCGTTATCAATGTGGGAAGACAAGGAAGAATGAGAGCTGGGAAAGAAATGGAGATGCTAGCGAATGTTGGAAAATTGTTCAGAAGTCCAGTCGAGAAATATGACCTTGATTCCTGTATTTGTGACTGCAAGTTCTTGCTCAGTGCTACACTTTATTCAATCTTCCTTCTGTGGACACAGGTATACTGACTATCTTATTTGCATTTCTCTTGGTCCACTTGCTATCGTCTCAAACTCTATTCTAAAAGACAATGCCGCTCAGGGAGATAGAAAAGAAGGCTGGAGCAAACGGACAACATCACAAAGTTAAAAATTGTCTGAGGAAGAGACAATTAACGTATTGCAGGTTGAGCGACAAAAGAATTACGTCTTGGAGCAACCGAGTTATAGTGGACAATGCAGGAAGTAAGCAAGCAGATAACCAATAGTAGTGCAATTCTTCATCTCTTTATTCTTTTGCAATCCAAAACTTCCTTGCTATTCACCTCGACTCAAACAACACTACCTTGTGGACAGAGCAGTCGCTCACGACACAAACCAACGCCATCGAATAAGCAAACAATTCGCAACAATCACCGTAAAAACAATTACCTCCACTTACTACCATGCAGATCACATTTGATCTTCTTTTCCTCTATTCCCAAGTTTTACTTTTTTTCTTAGGAAGTTTCCAGCTGTAGAATTTAATACCACAGACCCTATAATAACAAATGAAGTGCGGTGTAAAATACTCTACAAATGAAAGCAATAATCCAACGTTATGTATCCTATATCGCACCAATACAAAAAAGTTTCGTGACCAACTATTATGGTGAGAAATATTCCGATGACTACGTTTTAAAAGAACCCTCTATTACTGTTATTCTCTCTCATCCGAAGACATTTGAAATGTGAGATATTAGAAAGCCACAAACAAAGCTGTGCGCAACAATATATGTTCCATATTAGATGGCAGAAAAATTCTTCTGTTATAAACAAATTAATCTTGATCAAGAAGTCACAACGGTACACTCAAAAAAGCAACGGGATAACCCTTTAAATGGCTTACCAAGAAGTTTTAGAATCCAGAAAATACAGTGCTTATAAATTGTCAGGATCGAGATCTAAAACTTTAATGCATGAAGTGTTTCTGTTGATGGTCAATGGAGAGGAATAGCAAAAACCGGCAGATAGAGAACTGTCTTCGAAAAAAGAAAACAGTTTCTTAAAAACAAAATACAGTGAGAATATAGACAAGTAAATATGATGTACAAAAAATACATATATGTGATATCAGTATAACAATAATTGGTAGTAATAATAACGATAAAAATAATAATAATGATAAAAAATAATAATTGGTAATAATAATAATGATAACAACTGGTAATAATAATAGTAATTATTATTTATTATTATTATTACTATTATATACATTAGATAGAATGGAGAATGGAGTGTAGCTGTTAATGGAAGAGGAGAGAGGATTTCAAAGCAGGTCTAAATGGTTGCAAACACCGTAATCCGGATGTGTGTATGTGTTAGTGTGTTTGGCGGTGAATTGGACGTCGATCTCTGTTCACAGATAACAAGCTATATGCGCGACGGGCTCAACACCCGGGGTACCTTCCTGGGCAGACGATGTCCCCGCCCGTGTTTTCATTCCCTTCCTCTCTACATACCACACTTCGATCCGTCGTGAGATCCTCCCTTTAGCAACTCGTCTGCTTGTTTACTCCAACCAGTTACGCCACTTGGGAAGTAAACTGGAGAAAATGATCAGTCGTAATCCACACCTTTATTACTAATCAGTTTTCTTTACACCATCTTTTTCGCTTCTAGTACTGGTGCTATTTATCTGTTATCCATCTTCACAATCGCAAGAATCCGAGTTAACTTATCCGTGCTACTTCCCTAATACGCTCAATAAAACAAAAATTTGGTTCCAGTACAAGGCAACTATGCAGGCTTAATGCCATTAACTATGCACTCGACTAGACATTCTATATCTATGATGAAATTTGAAGCTTGTCCTTCACTCAAACCAATTCTACAGCCATGCGGTCTATTAGAAATAAAAAATTTTAGTTAGGGGAAGTGAAGAGCTCATGACGGGTGACTGTCAGCAGTAGCCTAAAAGTACAGACATTACATTCGAGATTAAACAGACCGAAACGGAGCTATTGAAAAAATGGAACCCCTCAGACAGAAAAGAGAGAAATCTATCACTGACATCGAAAGTGTCGAAGATTGGACAGCGTGAAGGAAATAGAGATATGTAAGAATTTTGTGGATCATCTACACAGGAAATAAAGAGGAATTTATTGATGACTGACGTTGAATGATAATGATAATGGTTTGGGGAAAGATTCAAATTCAAACTTAAAACAAGAGTTGTAACAAAATCCCAAAACTTACTTTATGTATCTGTAGCTGAAATGTATCAAAATGAAGGACGATTAGTGACTTCCACGATTTATACACTTGTACCTTCACTTGGCTAATCTTGTCGCTCACTTCTAGTCACCTAAAGAGCGAGAAGATAAGAATGGACCTGGCCGTATGTGTCGTGATTGCTATCTATGTGTGACCAAATCCTATACAATAACCTCTAGAATAATGAAAGATATATGAATAAACTTAGATATCGAATGAACATACTGTTTTGTTACACAGTGATTCAAGAATTTCAAAAATCTAGAAAGTTGGGGATAGCGACCAACCAAACTTATATTCACAAATAAAAACACATAAATTAGGAAAGAAATCATGACGGTTGAAATACAACGTGATGCCAATATATAAGAAATTTGGATAAGATAGCTTAGGTTATTCGAAGAATATAAAAACTCGAATGATGAGTTGGATGAGAAATGACTTGTATTCTTAACTCGTATTTTTTATGTTGATTGACTAAGGAAATAAATTTTACTGTAAATTTACACAGCCAAAATATAAATGCCAACAACGTTGCCATGAAAGAAAAAGGTATCGGGAAATTTAAAACATGTCGGGATCAAGAAAACACTAAGTTGCTTGCCGATGACATGGACAATGCAAAAAGTTTTTTCAATGGAAGCCGGACTTTACTCAAATAGTCTGCCCGTGAAGATCACAAGAATTTCGGGAACTATTTCGATTTTCCGTGGAGACAATGAAATGTATTTTGAAAAATGTGGATAAAATTGGTCAGAGATTAAAAGGAAAATTTGTTAAGAAAAAAAACAGGAAACGCGTTGTGGGGGTAATGCGTTATGTATATGAGTATATATATATATATATATATATGTGTGTGTGTGTGTGTGTGTGTGTGTGTGTGTGTGTGTGTGTGTGTGTGTGTGTGTGTGTGTGTGTGTGTGTGTGTGTGTGTGTGTGTGTGTGTGTGTGTGTGTGTGTGTGTGTGTGTGTGTGTGTGTGTGTGTGTGTGTGTGTGTACGGAAAATGAGAAAAGAAAGGGGAAGGAACAGGTAGATTATGTCCAAGTGAAAATCATCGATGATCGGATGGATGAAGTGCGCAAATAGGAGTGGAAGGCATCGCATCCTTGAACGTCCATGAAATGACCTTGGCGCCCCTCCCCAATCAAGATTATCCAAAACGATCCGGGATGAGACGTCGTGGGAGAATGGTAAAGTGGAGATCAAATCTTCCTTTACTCCTTTCAATAAATTCTACAATCGTGTTCTCTACTGCTTTTCAAAACAGTTCATGTGCATTCATCCAGTACTGCTTCCATCATATCTAGATTACTTTCTCCCTCCTTCTAATCTTCACTTCATCAAAGTAGTAAGCAGTAATCATGCTGCATTTCGTATCCTTCCCATTTGTAACATGTGCATAATCATATAAACAAGTATACATTTCACAACATTCTCGAGTTCCTGTCCATTAGAAAAGGAAGAGTGGGAGGTGTTTCATAAAGAAGTACACAATCGTGGTAGCAGTACCGAGATCTCAACTAGCAATAGGTAAAGTGGAGAAGAGGAACCTGTATGTAACACCTTCTGCATCACTACCTGAACATAAAAACGAACTCGTTGCCTTTTTTACAATGTCTTCTGAAATGATGACAAGCTTTGCAATTACTTGTATTCTTGAAAAGAGGAAATTTTGGACGAACGCTTAGTGCTGAAGGACAACAGCATAGCAAGCAGTTTCAATAAGAGGGAAAGTTGGATGAGAGACTGACTGGAATGACGCAGTGATCAAGATGAGTGAAGGTAAACAGGGAGTAAATGAATGATAGAATATTGAGCTAAAGCTACCATACTGGAAATTGTGAGGATTCGTTCGAGTTGACTGAGAGTAGAAATGCTGCAACTCACACCACACAGATTAGAAACACGCGCAGAGCCAATAACAGTACGTACACAGAACAGTGAGACAACTCTAGTGCTGCTGTTTGGGAAAGTGGTGATGGTCTGTTTCAGCGATTCATCCGGGACATTGAAAGCCATTATCGGGCTTGCCTCCTTTTCCTTCTTCATTCTCAGCTTGCAGCAGTGATGAACAAGGGAACCGATAGTTGCTGCTCCGACTGCTTTAACCACTCCTCAAAGCTGCAGTAGTTCACAGTTATCGGAGAGCTTAGCCTATATGACTCAGTCACGTGACATTTCTCACCCTCTGAATTACTACCTCCAATCTTTGGTATTGTTATCATTATGGACGGACATTACCATTATTTCGATGTTGTCATCAACACCATCGTTATCATTGTTTCTGTTCTGTTGCTGTGACCATCATTATTATCATTACTGTCAGTCTCACTATCACCATCACTATTCCGATCACTATAATCTTGTAAGTTTATGAGCACCACTTCATTATCAATAGTATGTAAAATTGCAATAATCCCGCAAACAGCAAGATTGTTTTGCTACTTCACAGATTTGCTATTATTTTCCCAAAGATTGTATATTTTCACATGCGCCAATAGAAGGGAGGATACACTGGAAAACAAACAAACGAGTGGAATTAGTAATTAATTGCAATAAAACTTAAATTTTCGGGATTGTGGAAACTGTAGCTAACAGGAAAATAAAACTTATAAATTAGAATTCAAATTAATGTAATGAAAGAATTCCTTCCTAAATTCTTAAATCCTAAGCTTGAGACCCAAAATTTAATCATATTTCAGGTTATATCATGGGCAGGGAAAGGATGGGTTGGAAGTAGGGAATGAATTACCAGTTAGCGAAACGGATGAAGGAGGAGGAGGAAGAAGGATGGTAGTGGTGGCGTAAGAGTGAAGGTCGGATGATTGTTTTGTACGGGAAAATGCGACGGGTGAACTTGATACACTAGGGCAAACGAATCGTATCGAGTCGACCTAATTTTCCTTATCAACTTTCTGTTCTGACTACTTTCCCCCGACCAAGAGGCACATGTTCTAAGTGAAGAAAATCTGGGCGATCACCACTGCTTTACTTCTTCCCACCCTTTAGGGACTCGATTCTTTTTCGGCTTTGTTCATCTCTCCCCGTCCTCTTCTCCCCATTGCTTTTCCTCTAAAAAAAAATATTATATAGCTGGAATTGATTACGGTCAAGTTATTGCAAGAGTTTTATGGATAATGGGATTAAATGGTATTACGAATTACTGCGTGATATACTCCATTTTGAGAAAATCAAAAAAAGTCATTGCTGGAATGTGTAAATTGAGGAGTTAGCGTAACTTTCCCTTCCTGGATAAATGAAGTGAAATTATATATCACCTTTGGAACGTTCGGAACTGCAGCTAATTAGAATTTCCAACTTTTTTGCAGCACAAACAGTTGAAGACACCCCCCAGAAGGCTCACTCAGCCGGGAAATAAAGCAGATTTTGCTTGCGTACACTTTATCACGACATTTTTAACGTGCATCAGGAAATGAAGAGAAAGATGAAAAGCTTCTGATTATAGACGGTTGAAAAAGGTACAATTAAAAAAAGTCAAGCATCGACATCCCATATGTTACTGTTGAATATTTGATTCTGCGAGAATCAGTAGAAGCAGCCAGACTCTCAAAAGTAACCGAACTATTTTGGCATCGGAAAAGATACAATGAGTTACAAATAACGTGCTTTAGGAGATCCAAGCGTACAATTTATAATGCTATTTCAAGTGTAATGAGCAGTTATGAAAATGACAGATGAGAATGTTTATTAATTAGAAGATATCTGGGACGATATCATATCAGTGTATAAGGTGGGAGAGGTGATGGCAAGAGAGACAAGAGGCCTATGCTACTAAAATGAATCCTGGGCCTAGCAACTGGACAGATAATGTGGATTTGTGAGTAGTAGGACAACTATCCGGACCTTAGTTGCACTGCTCAGAAAACGGAATTTAGTTTGGAGGACGATTACAAAATGTGGGTAGTTTTCATTGCTACACAGGCATAACAACACTCGCTCTTCTATCCTTAGGTGATGTGTGTTGTGATAGTAAATGGTGGTGATGGTGGTCGTTCTAGTAGGTCCCTGTTCTTTCTCCTTCCCGTTCGGTTCGGTTGGGTTGGGTATCGGCGACCGACATCCGTCTCCCCCGAGGCCGACCGCCCACCCTCCTACATCTTTTTAAACTTTTCATTTTGCCGAAGGTCACGAGCCTACACAGAATGAATCCCATGGCAAAACAGAAGGCAAGAGGGACAACGACAATACTATTCTGCAGCAACCGTCATTTGAAACCCAAACACTACTAAACGTTCACTTAATAAATGTTCCACAAAGAGCGCATCTCTTCTTCCTTATTTTCCCCCGTGTTCCATTCCTGTTCCTGATTCATACTATTCCCGTGGTCCGTTTCTACGACTCACCCCGTTTTCCCTTCCTATCAAAATTTTCTGAATTGCTAGAACGACCACTTATTTGAAATTGATTTCATCATCTGAAACACTCAATAATCAAATCAGTTTTTCACTGTTTCAGGATCAAATGGATGCAGACCTTAGTGAAAAAAAATGAGCGATCCGATTAAATATACAATTGCGTTTTACGTAAAAAAATAAAATGAAGAAAGAAAATATAGGAATCCGGAACTCTGAAAGCCTGGATTGTACCATAGAAAATTGGATTTGAATCAAGCAAATTTCAACTATTTTCTTCGCAACAAAATGTTTTACTTCTGTAATAACCATCTTTGAAATTTCTTTGACTCTAGTTGGTCCTGTACCAATAGGAAAAGGAGGATATATAAGAGCATTTCGAAATGTCGCATCATGTCGTTGCCTATCTTCTGCTTCATAACCTTATGAAGTTACTCGCTAAATAGAAGATTGAAAATAACAATCTTTTCTTAAATAACTATATATTACTAATAATTCCTTTTTTAAATTTCCGTTTCATTTTTACAATTTTTAGTAGTGGTGGAAAATGACGAATAATTAAACATGTATCGAAAGTTTCAAGCACATCCAAGTAGAAATGTTTGTGAAAATTTTCCAAAGCGAAACATCATTAGCGACCAAAGAGACAGTGAAAAATTAAAGTAACTTGTAAAATTTTTCTCCATAACCGTCTCATAATCATTTGAAGTTCTCTATGGTAGCGACGATCGTGATCATAACAATGATGGATGACGAACGATTTGCAAACGATGAATTAATCATTCATACTAATACTTCTTTCTCCGTTTTTCTCCCGGTTCTGTTCTTTTTTCAGTCATTTTATCCTCCTTCCATTCATCTTCGGCCCCTGTTTTTGCTTGGTTGAATGATACCTCAGCTTCTCAGAGTCTATGCCAAGATGCAAACAGTGGATGCCGAAACTCACTTCCTGAATCATTTTCTGGGTTAACAAGATAACAATTTTGTGAATCATTGTGATCACCACCGTGCGCGATTGTCGTGTAGCGCTTTGATTCAGTTCAAAAAAAAATAGGAATATTTTATACAAAAATAAAAATAGGGACTGTTTTAATGTTGGACAGTTGTTGAACATATGTTGTGTAGTGCTCTGAACACTTAATAATTTCTTTGACAAAGCGATAATGATAACGGTGCGTTCTTGGGAGTTGAATTTTTCAGGACTGAACAATCACTATGCATGTCATGTCTCTCTTAAATCTCCTACACAGAACTTTTTCATTACTTAGTTCTAGAAGATTTCATTAGTGAATAGAAATTTCAAGCTGTTGGCGACAAACAACAGAGTTCTTATTTCACTATAGATCCAGCTATGCTTCGTTAAATTGTCATAGCGGCTTTTTATTCACAAAGATTAGAATGGTTGTATCAAAAAAGAGCTATCTCAAACGAACAGTCCATTCCAGCCGAATCACTCAGTCAACAAAATCCTTTGTAAAGCCATATGCAAATCAAATAAGCAAGTGCAATTCCACTGCTCCTAAATTTCAGTGTGTGAATATATGTGTCTTGTAATTTATTTTCCGTTTTTCAACTGATACCTCGCTGCCTCCTCTGATTAACAAACACGAGGGATGATGCTTCTCCAACTAACATTGGGATTGACAATTCTATTATCAGTTTTATGAATTAAAGAAATTTATTTCGCAAAACATGAAACTTTCGCAACAAAGAATGATATACTCGGAACTGTTTCTGTTTCTTGAAACATGACAACATTTCTTAGATTAAAAAAAGTTAAGAATTCCAGATTAATTCGCGGTCAATTAATTCACTCCACCCGTAGACCAGTTTTCCGGAAAATGAAATCTATCATTCTCTACATTCTATAGCAGCAATAATCTGATTTCCTATGCATGTTTCGGAAATAGTATGGTATGGCTGAACTTCCGGTCTCATTTTTTGTCGATAACGTTGACGCCAGATGGTGATAGCTGCATAACACAGTACTGTGCTTTCTACGGTTCCTGTTTATGTTAACAATTTTGACAGATAAGGAAATATGTATGACAATAGGCTAGGAGATATATATGCAGCGCATTGCAAATGTTGTTCATTTGCATTGCTCTCGAATTTTATCACTAATTCTTAAAAATCCACACAAACTGCATGTAAGGAAGAGATAATTTGGATCGAAATGTTGCTGGCAGGTTATTTGGGCACTATTCTTCGCAAATTTCAGTAGGACATTGTTTTTCTTTTTCTTATACATAAGCAAGAATTGTTATCTTTGAAATAGTAAATTATTATGACTAGAATCAAATCGGATGTTGTCAAAGATATAAATTTCACTGTGAAAGTGTTCATGCACAGTAAGGGTGCGGGGAAATGAAAGCACCATTTAAACGGGACAACACGAACTTCTCGTTCAAGTTCATCGGAATTTTCGCTTTTATTAAGTGGCTATATGTGTGTGTGTGTGTGTGTGTGTGTGGGCGTGTGCGTGCATTCGTGCAAATGGTGGGAGGGTACACATCTATATTAACTGACGAAAACTTTCATTTCCTGATAGAAGGATGCACATGACGGCGGTGAAAAGATGACCGTGGCCGTGGCCACCATTCGGTGGAGGTTGCGCAAGGATAATGCTATGAAAACTGGAGCAGGAAACGAGAATGAAATGGATTCTACCCTCGC